TGGACGGGGCTCTGAGTAACCTGATCTGATGTCCGATGTCCCTGCCCACGGTAGGGGTTGGACTAGATGACCTTTAGAGGTCCCCCAAACTCTTCTATGATTTTATGAATTTATCTCAGCCTGCTATAACACACCTATGTCTCGGTTCATCTTTTATGTAGTCCCCCCTCCTTACCTGGTTTAGGTCAATTAAATCAAAGAAGGTACATTAGAAAAAAAAACCATACAATTTCCTTGCAGCTAAACAAGTAAAACCAGTAACTTACCCCCACTTAACAGCTTCATAACCAGCCAAAGTTCATCCTTCACCACAAAAGATGTGTAATAGGTCACCACATTGGGGTGATTGCATTGACTCATTGCTTGAATTTCTTTCTGTAAGAAATACAAAGCCCAACATAACACAGCCAGCTATCAGCTCTGCTTGTATAGAGAGAAATTTTAATTTCCAAAGTGAAATACTAAAGTATGCACAGAATATGCATCAAAGCACCAAAACATTTCAATTTACCTATAGATCTATATGCAAGACAAAACATTATTGCAAAGAACACAAGGGAGGCTTGGCCAGGAGATACAGGCATAACTACACCAATTTTCTTCTGAGAGCAGCAAAGAATTTACTGTTAAAGTCCCAAATTCAACATGAGCAATGAAGAATGAGCAGTCTCCCAAGAGCTGAAGGTGTGAGTACAGGCTGGACAACAAAACGCAAGGAAAGATCAAAACCTACTGCCCTTCCTGTTCAAAAAGGATGTGAAAAGAGTAGAATGGGAGCAGGAGGGGTTGGACTAGATGACCTTTAGAGGTCCCTTCCAACCCAAACTCTTCTATGATTTTATGAATTTATCTCAGCCTGCTATAACACACCTATGTCTCAAGGTTCATCTTATGTAGTCCCCCCTCCTTACCTGGTTTAGGTCAATTAAATCAAAGAAGGTACATTAGAAAAAAAAACCATACAATTTCCTTGCAGCTAAACAAGTAAAACCAGTAACTTACCCCCACTTAACAGCTTCATAACCAGCCAAAGTTCATCCTTCACCACAAAAGATGTGTAATAGGTCACCACATTGGGGTGATTGCATTGACTCATTGCTTGAATTTCTTTCTGTAAGAAATACAAAGCCCAACATAACACAGCCAGCTATCAGCTCTGCTTGTATAGAGAGAAATTTTAATTTCCAAAGTGAAATACTAAAGTATGCACAGAATATGCATCAAAGCACCAAAACATTTCAATTTACCTATAGATCTATATGCAAGACAAAACATTATTGCAAAGAACACAAGGGAGGCTTGGCCAGGAGATACAGGCATAACTACACCAATTTTCTTCTGAGAGCAGCAAAGAATTTACTGTTAAAGTCCCAAATTCAACATGAGCAATGAAGAATGAGCAGTCTCCCAAGAGCTGAAGGTGTGAGTACAGGCTGGACAACAAAACGCAAGGAAAGATCAAAACCTACTGCCCTTCCTGTTCAAAAAGGATGTGAAAAGAGTAGAATGGGAGCAGGTAAGAAAGGAAGAAGGAAGCTGTCGGACAGAGGACACAGCACCACTGGCTCAGCTACTGTGGGATGGACAGGTGGACACCAGAGCCACGCAATCAAACAGAAGTGCAAGAGGAAAAAGCAATGTTACAGACCAAAAGTCAGAGGAAACAATTGACTAGAGGAACACACAGTCACCAACAGATGCACAAAGTGGCACTACCAAGTAACACCATCTATGACACGCCACAGCTGTACACATTAAGAATGACTGCCTTGTATCTGTTATTTCAAGCAGAGTCCTTCCTCTATTCAGTCTTTCACGTAATTGTTCTGTAACACCTTTCCAGCAGCTCTCATTATCCTGCCAATCCTTTATGTAGGAGTGTTTAGGGCTCCTTTGTACCGCAGGGTTTGGCCTCACACCAACTTAAGATCCCACAACCTTACTTCTTCCTCTCCAGCTACAGAGCCCTGATCCATCCCTGGTGCGAGAGGACATGCTCCTGGAGGGTGAGTCAGTCAGGGAGCCAATCCAGCTAAAACCTAAACTCTTCCACCTCCCCTCCCTCCCCAAAAAGCAACTGCTTTCAGGTGGACCTGTGCTACATGCTGACTCACCAGCACTGGCACAAGGGAGACACTATAGCAGTCCCACTTAGATGGATTAAAGCTGCCATAGATGCCATTTTCAACTTTCAACCTCAATTCAGCAAGTGTTTGAAAGAGGGTTTTTTTGTTGTTCTTATTTGTAATGCACTCAAGATCATAGCCACTTTCTAATAAAAAGTTAATTGTATGTATTAAAGACTGTGATTTAATCCCGTGATGCCTGTTGGTGACTATTAAGTCAGGCTGTAGATTGACACACACTTCAGCTAGTCTTGTTGTCAAAAGTCCTCCTCCCTACACAACTTCTGAGCCCAGAACCACAGAAGGATGAATGCCTGGATAGTCATGCAACAAGCCTGAATAACTGAGCAATTTGCAAAATAGTCCCCCCGCCCCCCCAGGAGACAGTAGGTAGAAAACAGAAGAAATATGTGGGGCAGATTTCCCTTTCCCAGCAGACATGTCAGCTGAAACGCAAGTCAAATTACTACCTCAGGTTCTTAATTCAGCTATCCATACCAAATCTGAACTGTAACTCTCCCACGCTTTATTACTATTTCATTTCTTATATTGGTTTATTGTTTTCCTATGCTGGTAATATAACGATGGCTCAAAAAGTCTACCTGCCACTACTGGGCAGAAATACACATCTATTTTACTCACACATTAATAGTGCAGAAATGTAACTAATTGACTGTGGTAAGCTTCACAATCTTTAACTGAAAAGCGCTTTGAATATTTTGTCTGCCTGCATCAACTTGTCAGCAAAAATTGAGCTATCACAGTAACCATGGCCAAAGGCACCTTGTGTCTCAGCTTTGGTGACTTCTTCCAAAGAGAGTCTTTGCAAAACAAAAATAAACAAATAGAAAGCACCCCATGAGAGATAAGGGATTAAATTTTAGTCAGGAAAGTATTAATTTCAGACTTGCAGTTCTGGAGAGCCCCTATCACGCACAGAATAGTAAGCCTCCGCAAACTTCAGTTATTTGGCTGAGGCCCATAATATGCACAGGTAAGAGAGAAAAGCATTCACTTAAAATACACTGTCAGAGGAAAAGCTTGCAGCAGGACGTCCAGGAGAACGCCCTGGAGCCTTCTTCACATTCACATCACTTGACATTCAACCCCTGGAGCCTTCTTCACATTCACATCACTTAGACATTCAACAGCACCAAAGCCATAATGGCACTTAAAATTTAAGGTCTCTCCCTCACCCCTCTGCTTGCCCCTTCCTTGTGCTAGCACAAGTGTTTGTGCACTGCAGCAGGAAATATGCCCAGGTTAAAAGCTAACTTCTTTTCGGCCAGGTTATTCCTGATCCAGTTTCACTGAGCAGCTGCACAAAAATTTGTGTCGGCCTAAGGGCAGGTGGGTGACACAGTTAATAAGCAACTGTGAGACGGCTCCTTTTGGTGCTCAGCTGCTGCGCCCACAGGGCCGGGTCCAGCTCCCAGTGACCAGGCAGGTGCCGCAGCTCTGTGGGTGCTCCCCCGGGGCCTCCTCCACAGACACCTGGGGTACGGCTGTTTGAGGGGCTGGGCATAACACACGAGGGGCTCCTCCAGAGAGCCTGCCTTGAAGGGCTATCCAGAGCAGAAATGCAAACAGTTTAGAAAATCTGTTCAATCAAATAAGCCATTCTATAGAATATCCTTTGGTTTGTGGCGTTGAGTTTTTTGTTTGTTTTAAAAAACTGGAGGTAAGGGGATGGGGGAAGATACGCAGTCAGGACAATACTAAGGACAGGAACTTTTTCCTTGCCTCATGGGGTTAAGTTACATTTAGTTTACAATAGTGAGAACACAGGACATTGCAGGAAACGGAGTATTGAATTTCAGGAGTTTGGCAGTTTGTGTAACCTTAGTATTTAAACTTCCTCCCCCACTGCCTTTCTGTTTTAATTGACACTGGCCCAAATCCTAAGTCTGCTTATGTGGGCACCAGGCTTGCTGCATTTTCTACTTCTCTGAAGGCCACACAGCTGAGAATTTGTGAAGGGTGCCTTTGCACACCATCCGTAAGCACTCAGCAGCAGGATTTTACAAAACAGCATGTTCAGAGGGCAGACAGAGTTTTAGAACATCCCTGTGCCAATGGAAACTGTTTGATCAGAAAAATAAGTGATTGAAGACTGACCAGACTCAAAAGCAGTGTTAAAAACCCCAAAACACAAGAGCGTTCTAATATTATCAACTGAAATAAAAATGTTAGTACAGTTGTAACAAGAGTTTAAGGTCAGTAACACCCTTTTCCAGAATAACATCTCTATTTTTTTTTTTTTAAACAAAATTTTAAAATCTATTAGAACTGAGTCGGAGTAAGTATACTTCCCCTCACAGAAAAAAAAAGAATTAATTATGTATGTGTATGCGTGCACATGTGTGTATGCACATATAAAAATAAAAGAGATCATACATGGCCTTTTTTTTTTTTTTTTTACCCTCCTAACCAGGAACTCGGAAAGCCAGAATTTATGTTCAGATCAAAACAGATCAACAAATAAAAAACACAAAATCTGAACACAGAAAAGCAGAAATTGACTTACGTTAAAAAATAAAAAAGATGGTATGGACAGTTGTCTTCGTACCAAAATAAAGCAATATAGGACCAAAAATTCAAGACCTACTGCCTCATTTGGCAGACAGTGGAGACATGTCAGAAGATACTCAAGCACTTGCTAAGGTAACTTTGTGCAAGCTGGTAATTAACTGCAGTCATTTCTCTAGACCACCTGGATATCTCTTGCAGATTTTTGGCAGTTTTGTCTGTTTTTATTTGTTGTAACTTTTTAATTCTTAATTCCCATTATTAGTTCAAATTCTAATAAAAAAAGATTAAATTTTGACCATTTTATATTACAATAATTAGTTTTTCCGGTTTTATAGAAGTGTTCTTTACGGGCTGCAGATGCTAATACATCACGCACAACATCTCACCTTGGGCTGTTCTCTTTCTAAACACAGTTCAGAATTTATCTTTTGAGTTTTTAGTCGACAGAAGTCTCACTACCTCAAAGGTAGCTTCCACTACCACAATCTTCTTACAAAACACAACAATG